AAGCCACTGATTAAAGAGGTTTCAGTGAAGTAACATTTGCACAACGCAAATCTCATTCATGCTCATAATTCAGTGCAGTTTTATTTATGCACTAAAAAATAAAAACTTCCTCTGCAACCTAATCAGGGTTAGTTGTTTTTACTACAGGAGGAAATAATCTCTTCCTTTTGCATCATGATCACAATTCAATTTAAGAATATTGAATGTGTATTTTGAGTATATTCCGAATAGAAATGTGTGTGTAGTATAAGGTGTCCTTTATATGGATGGACCTGCAGAGTCGACTAATGAAAATCACACACAGACAACAGGAATAGCTGTCTGATAAATAAAAATAGTTTCTCAATCACCAACATATTTCCTAACGTCATGTTTTTGATCCTGAGCACAAACGTATTGTGTCATTTTGAACGTTTTGTTGAGCTTCATGTTTCTCAGGTCTGCAGTTTTGTCTCTGTTTAAAGCTCACTTTCACTGTCTCTCCCTCCAAACCTCATGCCACAAATGTCTTCCAGACTTTCACACATAGTAACGCTGGAGTGTGTGAACAGGCTTAATTACAAACATGGCAGAGACACAGTTTAACATTAATCTTTGCTGATGGTAGAGAGAGAGAGAGAGAGAGAGACAAAGGAAAGTCCTCTGGTCTCCAAGGATAGTGAATGGATGAGGAGGATCTGGACTTGGACGGACACAGAGGGACAGAAACGAATGAGGAGGTTTTTAAAGAGGAATAAAGTGTGTGTGTGTGTGTGTGTGATGTAATTCAACACTTGTTAAAAGCAGACTGTTAGTCAGAAGTATAGGACTCTCTCTCTCTCTCTCTCCTTCAATTGACTAAAAGTCCTCTGGTCTCCAAGGATAGTGAATGGATGAGGAGGATCTGGACTTGGACGGACACAGAGGGACAGAAACGAATGAGGAGGTTTTTAAAGAGGAATAAAGTGTGTGTGTGTGTGTGTGTGATGTAATTCAACACTTGTTAAAAGCAGACTGTTAGTCAGAAGTATAGGACTCTCTCTCTCTCTCTCTCCTTCAATTGACTAAAAATATGAAAACATACCAGTACAACACAGCAGATTTCGTTTATCAGGTCAAAAATATACATTTTAAAGTATTTAGAAATATGTATTTTTTATTATTTATAGAGACTATTTAATTTATAGTTTCCCTCCAGAGCCCCTCCCTCTGTCCGGCTCTTTTTTCCTGTCTATCTTTATCTCTATCTATTTGTGAGTGTGTGTGAGTGTGTGTGTGTGTGCGAGAGCGACAACATCTCCATGTTAAATTATTATTATTATTATTATTATTATTATTATTATTAGCGCTCGCCTAAATGATGACATTTTAAAAATTAATACATTCATTTGTGTTGATACGGTATTCCTATGGCCTCTCTCTCTTTTTCTCTCTTTTTCACATCATTTACTGATCGAGGGCTTGAAATGAACGTGGAGCCTGCGTTTAGGTTATTTAACATTATGAAGTTCACTTCACTCACAACAGAAACTACAAAAATCAAGCACACACACTCACTCAGAGAGAGAGAGAGAGAGAGAGAGAGAGAGAGAGTATCTAATGTGTGTCAGTGCAGCTCCACGCGGCCGTGACAACAACGTCGATTTATTTAAACACAAACGACCCAATAATAGACCGTGATCTCGATCTCCCTGCGCCTGTTTATTAAACTGCTCCGAGTGACTGTGGTTACAGTCCGTCCACCCAACTGTAAACGAAACGAACAAACAGATGTTTATTTAATTAGAGTTACGGCCACGACATTTAAATTACAATTTATATGTCACAAACTATTTTGACCCCTGAGGTTGACGCGGGGCCGTGAGGTTTCTGCAGGAATACTGCCATGATTTATAATTTTGCTGACAATACGGTTCAGATGCATTTTATAATATTTTTTATTTATTTAAGTGTAATCCAAACTCAATAGTCACCTACAGTAAAGGAGGCGCGCGCCGCGTGAACCCTCACAGACATGAAATGATTACAGTTATACGGTGATTTAACCACAGTGAGTTCGATTGTCTCGTTAATACCTTTGCTTTTTATTCAGACTTTATATCTGAAGTTCCAGCTCCAATTGCAAACGCCGCTCTTATCTGAACGGGGGCCGCACGAGCTTTGACCCGGTGACTTTGACGTGTAGGCCGAGTACAGACGGCAGATCTAGACGGCAGATTTACATTTAGCAGAAACCACTCTTTTTTAAGCTTATCTATTATTCTATATATATATAGAATTATAGAAAATATATAATTTTAAATATATATATATTTATTTATTTAAAACTTTAAAAAATAGTTTTATTGTAGATGTTGAGAACCAGGATTGCATTATCTATCATTTTGAAACTGGAGAAGGCATGAATGTCATGTCGTTTACTGTATTTTTTTTACTTCCACCTGATAAAATGATTAATCTTAAATTTAAACAAACAAAACAGACTTTTTCTCAAATGTTATTGGACATTTTTTATTGTTCATTTGAAAAAAAATAAACATCAACGTGTGTGAATTTCACTTGGTGAAGTTTTGAATAATAACACTGTAAATTTCCTGCAACTAGAAACTGATCAAACTATAATATGGAGTATTAATATCAAATATGCCTTTAACAGTAACAAAGAGTCTTTTCCCCCACAGTGATCTATATAGAAGTATAGAATTATAATGTTACAGCGTTGGAATGTGGCTCCACTGTCACACACAACAAAGAATAGCTTCTGATTTCTCTCGTAGGACTCTGGATTAGTCTGGTATTGTTTGTCCGCCTGGTGTTATTACAGGAAGTGGCAGTAGCTCCTGGCACACATCATCATAATAATATTAATAACAAAAAGTGGAGATCCCTTTGGTCATTTTTAAAAAGGTGAAAAACTTCTCCACCTCGATTCCTTAAACATAAAACCACACATCTGCTTCGATTCAGTCACCTCACGCTTCCTCTGAACTCTTTCCTGCATTTTTCAGAGCAGCACTGAGAGGCAGGCATACATTGGCATAAACTACCGGCACCCGGCCTGGCTCGGTCTGGTCCAGATGGGGTCTGCAATCTCCCCTTCCAGTACTGAGACTGATGAGCCTTTCAGCCAGCTCGCCGTAGCCAAACAGCCATTCACCCTGCCAGTCATGTCACTTTTTAGCCAAGCAAACAGCCAGGTTTCCAGTTAGTCAGTGCACCAGCCAGTTATCCCGGCTATAACTTTTCTTTCTAACACCGACCGAGGTAACACAAATGTGACGTTCCTTGAGCCAGCCAGAGGACGCCTCTGTAGAGCTTTCAAAGACACGGCCTGTCCCATCAGACGATAGGGTGCTTCATCGCAAAATCAAATGACCCGGCCGTCAACTTTGCCACAGAAACAATTTTGCTGTTTGTAGCTTCTGGTTGCGGAGGTTCCAGCTTCAGTAATGTCTCTTTAGGCTCTGTGAGCGCCTTCAAATTGGACAGAGAAAACAAATGTATCCCCAGTGAAATGTTCACAAATGTCACTTAGATGCAGTGCTAATCAGTGGCTCGGTGCTTCATTTCAGGCTGTAAATGCAATATTATTTTTGAAGAAAATGTCAAATTACACAGACTGGGTTCTCAGCAACAGCCTTTGTCTCACTGATATTTCTGCCTTGCTGCACTGGGCACAGCTTGTCCCTCTGAGGTTGTGTGGGCCAGCCAATAAGGACGCGACACTGTGCCTGCCAGGGCAGAGATGCAGCTTTTAGCTTTAACACTTTCTATGGCTGCTCAATTCCAAATATGTGTCATTCAGCCATTATAATTCAACAATTCTGACATTTATAAGATTTTGTTTTTGTTTGTTTTGAGGGTTTTTTTTACTCAATAGCGCTGTGTATCTGAATGGAAAATAATATTTTTGTTTCATGTTCAGGTACATTTTCCAATAAAATGGAAGCAGAAGAGTCTGTTTAGTGACCTCTGTGGAGAACTGCAGCATTTAAAGCCAGCATTGTCCATTGTGTGTGTGTCTGGTCCTTTACTCCATCATTTGTTTAGGAGGAACTTTTCATGGAGTTCTGTGATTGTGTTGTTTGGGCTATTAAAGTTGACTCGCAAAAAAACAAAGAGCCAGTTTGGATTTGATTGTACATTTTAAATCAAAAGACCATTTTTTGGACGGCATTTTAGAGGATGGGGGGGCCAATGGGTAGTTTCTTCCCCCACCTCTCTTTGTTTGTGCGGTAAATTCAGCAGCAGCTGCTGGTCCCGGAGTCTAGTGGGATTCTGGGCCTGCGCTTTCTCATGGCATCCCATTCCAAGGTGGTGTAACACTAGTGGGAAAGGGAGAGAGAGAGGAGGAGGATGGATAGGTGTTTCTGGAGGGGATAGAGCAGGTCCCGCTGTAAGTCACCGATGACAGCGTCAGTCGGGTGGTAAGGTGTCGTAGGAAGATTGGAGCGGTTTGGAACGGGTACATGTAAAAACATTGTCCTCTGGACTTTGCCTTTGCACTTATTTGGAACTTATCTATTTGAATAATGACAAGCCTTCTGTTTGCACCTCACAATCCCCCCTCCTCCCATCACCTCTCTCTCTCTCTCTCCCTCTCTCTCTCTCCACCAGCCCCCAGCCCCCACCCTCTTTGGCAGTTTCTGTGCCATCTCTCTCATCCCTCCCTTTCAGCACTGAGAGTGAGCGTATTGGTTGGTCTGTTTGAGACTCGGTGCCAAATAGGTGGGTCCTCCGCATGTTGGCACAGACTCAGTCAATGGTAAAGGAAGGAAAGAGAGAGAGAGAGAGAGGGTGTTGGAGAGGAAGAGGGGGAAAAAAGAAGCAGCACTTGCGTTTGCCAGTGGTCCTGCACACTCTTCTATCATTGATTTGCTTCTATTGTTTTTGTTTTTGTTTTCTTTTTTTTCCTGCTTCCTTTTCTGCTCTGTCTACACGCAGTTTGTCCAGCTCTCTCACCCTTTTCTTTCGTAGTCTTATGCAGATCTTACAACACTAAACCAAAATCCCATGCGGCTTTGCTAAGCATTTTCCAGTTTTTCTTTTTTTCTCTTTCTATCAAGATATTTTTATGCTGCATATTCTTCCAAACAAGGAGGCTTGTTTAAGTACTCGACAGTTTGATTTGTTAACGCAAAATCTGCTTCATTCCGTTCGTGGTTTCGTGCGTTGCATTTTTTTTTAAAGACTGACGAACTTCTTCCCTTTTTTCTTTTGTGCTTTACCAGCAGCAGCACCTCTCTGGCATCTCTTGCTAGAGTACCTCCTGTGTTTCTGTACTGGTATTGCAGTACGCCCCCTTGGCATCCTTGGAAGTTTTTTTTTTCTTCCCCGCTGCTTTTGCTGGACACTCAGCTTCTCTTTGCTGCTGTATCTTTTTTCCGTCCTCCATCTTTTGTTCCTAAAGACACGTAGTACTATTTTGGTATTTCTGACAACAGTCCAGCTTACAAACTACTGGTCAGTCATAATTTGGTGTGCAGTCGTCGGGTGAGGTTATGATGTGAAAGCAAAATGGTAACTACCACCATATTAGTCTTGTTTTATTTCATGTGTTTGTTGTACTAATTGTTGTGCAGTTTTTGAACTGGCAAATATGTTGCGATATTTTATGTCCCTGGCTGCCTATGTTGCAGCTCGGTATAATTTTAGGTTATCATTTTCAGTATCTTATACAGTCTCACTGTGTGTTTCACATCCTTTTTTAAATTTCTATTAGAACTTTAAGACTTTTTATACATATATAATATCGTTACTCCCCTTTAAATATAATTGATGGAGTGCTTTTGAAATGTGTCCTTCACTGTTGTGTCTGTTGTCGCTACATTCCTCTCTCTCTCTCTCTCTCTCTCTCTCTCTCTTTCTCTATCATTCTCTCGCTCATTATCTTCCTAAGCTTACATAGAGCAGGCGCTGCTTCTCCATGTTGCGCACTGGTGCTAACTGCCTCTCTTCTCTTTTCCCTTCCTCACCCCCACTCCCTGTGTCCCCGTCTTTCTGTCCCTCGTCCTCACCCCCCCTCTCTACTGTCTCTTTCTGCCCCCCTCCCTGCTCCCTCCCCTCTACCTTTATCCCATCCTCCTCCTCTCTCATCCAGGATGAATTCCACCCCTTCATCGAGGCCCTGCTGCCCCATGTTCGCGCCTTCTCCTACACCTGGTTTAACCTGCAGGCCCGCAAGCGCAAATACTTCAAGAAGCATGAGAAGCGCATGTCCAAGGAAGAAGAGCGTGCAGTGAAGGATGAGCTGCTGGGGGAAAAGCCAGAGATCAAGCAGAAATGGGCCTCGCGCCTGCTGGCCAAGCTCCGTAAGGACATCCGGCCTGAGCACCGCGAGGAGTTTGTGCTCAGTATCACAGGAAAAAAGCCCCCCTGCTGTGTGTTGTCCAACCCCGACCAAAAGGGCAAGATCCGTCGCATCGACTGCCTTCGCCAGGCTGACAAGGTGTGGCGACTGGACCTGGTGATGGTCATCCTGTTCAAGGGCAGCCCCCTGGAGAGCACAGATGGGGAACGGCTGGTCAAGTCGCCACAGTGCAACAATCCTGGCCTCTGTGTTCAGCCGCACCACATCGGAGTGTCTGTCAAAGAGCTCGACCTCTACCTAGCTTACTTTGTCCACTCGCCAGGTATGTAGGGGGCGCCGTTTAATAATGCTTAGCATGTGTGCACAGAAATGTGCACCACCCTCAAACGCACAATAAATAAAATACAATACACTCATAAATACATCTATGTATACTTATATATACATATTTATATGTATATTTAGAGTGCATGTTGAAAACAAGAGAGACTGTGATAGTGATTGTTCTGTTTGGCAGCGCCTTCGCCCCGTTGGTGTGGGAAGAAGAGAAAGCCGTCTTGTGTTTTGTTTATGACTGAGTGGCAAAAGCTGCCACGGGGAATCTCCGGGCTCTCTGTCAGGTTTTCTCAGGCTGTTCCGCAGCCAGATTTTGTGACGCTCTTGTTACGGAGCGTAACACACCACAGTTAAATGTACAGCACATCGTGTTGCTGCAGAAAAAGAGCAACAACATGAATCTGTAGCGTTGTCCATGAAATACGTGCACGAAGAGTAGAAGGTCCCTTAAATGTTACACTGTAAGTGAATAATTGAGAGTCAACATCATCCATTTTAGTGAAGTCTAAAGGTCTCCTGACCCCAGTGTGTTGTACTGGTGTTGTAGTGTCAGTCCACACTTCTTGATTAGAACTAGTTCTCACTTGTGTCAGTCTGACTACTGGTCCACACATGCACCATAGGAACGGGGATAATTTAGTGAGCAGTGGAGGATGAATTCGACTCATCGACATTTTTTGATTTATTCATATCTAAAACAAAACACATTTTCTGGTCCAAAGTTAGCTCAGGGTTCTTAATCATTCTTTGAACTCTGCTGTTTTTTCTTTTCGCTCTTTTGTATGGCGTAAGTGTGATCTTGAAAAGATGTTTTGAATGTGTTTCTAATCATAAGTGCAGTACAGGAAATTTGCAGTCACGCCGAGGGAAGTGTGAAATGTGCTTGCTGTGCCATTTTTGCCATTACGTTCCACACTCCACGCTCCGTGTTGCCAGATTACGCCTCTGCTCACTATAGCTGTAGTCATGCCTTGGACAATGCTGTGAGAAAGTCGAGCAAAAAAACCCTAATGCATCGCCCAGCCACAAATGTTCTCCGACGGCCTCTATTTAGCACTGAAGACATCTTCTTCTTCTGTGTCTGTTGTATGTATTGGGCTCTCTGAGGCAACGTACCAAATGGGAAGGTTTCAAATCTGAAGATAGAACGTGAGTCTCGTCACATTAGCCACAGTACAAGATGGAGTCCTCTCACTTTAGTCTTGGCTTCAAAAAACAGTCTGGTATCTGAATCACAAATGTTACCGGTCTAGCCAAAGTCCTGGTGTGCGCGTGTGTGTTTGTGTGTGTGTGTGTGTGTGTGCCCCTTAATTTCACATTCATGTGTTTATTCACATACATCGACACAATCATGAAAACATAACGGGAAATGGTAGTTTATTAGTTTTTCTTGAAATTATGGGTGTGTGGTGGTCTCCTGAGAACACAGTGACAAAGGCAGACTGTGCCTTTGTCCTGGCTTTACTACAGCGCTAAGACTTTGTTTTTATTTTTTGAAGAAAGTAAAACTGAAAATAATTTGGTGTCTCCCAAGTGTTCCCTTTCATCTGTATTGTCAGCCGTTAAGGGAACTTTTAGGAGCTCAAATATAGTTTCCTAATCTTTTCATTAAATCAATTGAGTTCATTATAGTGAAATTTAAAATTTCCCTCTAAAAGTTTTGCACAAATTATTAGGCATAAAATCTACAACATGTTTATACTTCAGGTACAATACATATCATATGTTGTCTAATTTTTAGCGTGTGTTAATTTTCAGGCTTTTTCGTTTTTTTGCCAGCCGATAAATGTGTTTGTCTTTGGCCAAAACCCTATACCAGCTTCAGAGGGTTCCCCAGTCTCAGAGAGACAGAGGAGGAGGAGATGTAGTTGTAGAAAGGAAAATATTAATGCTAACGTCATGTATCAGCAGGTTCCAATCACATCCACGCCCTAACTGCTCAGAGCTGCCAGTAAGACAATCCTATCATATCTAAAATACACTGATGTCCCTTTACTTTGCATTTTTGAAGAGGAAATAAATATATTGTAAGTGTAATGCAGTTTGAGGCTTTGTGAGGGAAATTGTGTAATTATTTGGATCAGTGGTCGTTTCTAGCAGAATAATATCTCTCTATATCTCTCGCACCATTTCATACACGGCTCCTGCCAGTGTGGAGCGCACCATTTCATACACGGCTCCTGCCAACCTCCTTTTCCTCTCCTTAAAAAAAGCCCCTCCCCGAGCTGCATTAGCATGGCCAACTTCTCTTTGCAGTGACATGAAATGTCTAATATCCTGTAAGCGCAAACAGTTTAGCTCTCAATAGGAGCATTATTCTAGTTTTTCATGAAAGGCCGCCAACTTGGACTGTGACCACGGGTCGGCTTTTTTGTTATAAATTCTTTGATGTTTTTAGTCATTGTGAATGAAATTTGTTTTTTTTTGTCACCAAGCCCTGTTGACAAATCTGCACAATGACAAGTGGATATCCAGCTGATTTCTGACATTATTTTACCATTTCACGTTTTTGTTTTTCTCCCCATTACGTCGGGGGGAACGCAGTAGTTTGGGTTGCCTTCATAATGTGGGGTTTAAAGCTCGCAGGGAGGAGAAGGAATTAAACCTAGCACCAATGTGTGACAGGTGTTACAGTTTGATCTACTATATATATATATACACAGATATACAGATATACATTTATATATCTATATATGTCTGTGTCTGCGTCCATCGGTGATGACTTGGAGTAAAACATTTTCGGCATTTCATCAAAGGTCTCTACTCATGTGTGAACACTCTTCTTCTTTTCTGACGAGCCTGAGAATGGAGCCAACTAATGTTGACGAGAGAATGGCACTAGTTTAGATAAGAGGATGAGCTTAGAGTGAAATGGCGTCAATGGGCTGCAGAGCAGGTGGGAGGTGGGTGCCATCCCCCACAATTAGGGTAAATCAGGAGTAGAGACAGTGTGGTTTTGTTCACTCTTCAGCATCTATGGCGTTAGAGTTATGTCTATGACAAAGTCTAATACAAAGCAGCGTCTGGTGGGAGTAGCATGCATTTGGCAAGCTTTACATGTGCAGGCATGTGCGTGTGAGTCAGTGTGCATATGTCTTTGTTTGCTCATTATATATATGGTCATTTTTCCTCCTTAGTTTAGACAGTCCAGTGCGTCCAGCAGCAGGTGTTTTCTTTAATACAACTGTGAGTGTGTCTAACGTCTCAGGGTCGTAGGGACACAGTGGTAAACTGGCCGCAGCAAGGTGCTGAGCACCGATCTCTGCTTCATCTGTTCACCATTCAAAGAGTCAGCCGAGGAAACAGCCAAGTGTAAACTAAGTGCTAAAAAAATCTGTTTGCAGTTTTCCTTTTGTGAACTTTTCATTTAAAACCACTTAGTGTTTCCTGACTGACAGCGAAGCCAAATGTAGTCTTTTGATCTTCTTAACGCCGCTGATGTAACTGACATCTATCTTACCTTTAGTTGTCAGAGAGCAAGTGTCTTTTACAAGAAGGCCTTGTAAAGTCAAATATAAGTTGTGCTTCTGCTGCATTTAAACTAATTTAGGCTCCACATTTAAGCTCCATACCGTATTATAAGAAGAACTCACATTTCCTTTTTATTTTGTTGCTGCCAAGAACTAATTTGAAACTCTTTGTCTTCTGTTTGGCGCAGCCTCAACATCTTTTCTTTACTTTCTATAAATATGAAAATACATCCTGAATCCTATTTTTAACACCTTTTATTGCCTAATTAATATTTTTATTAAAATGTAATGTAATGTAAGTCAACCACATAAACATCCCTCCCTCCCCTGAGCCTCCACAGAGCTCACCCCATGCCTCCTCCTCAGCCCTCCACTCGTTCACCTCATGTTTATTGGATCCAAATTTGGCTTGCACCATGGCAACCAAGGCTCGCCGCAAACCTTGCCTGGGTAGAATCCAAGGTGGCTCCAGGGAGTCACTGGCTGCTATTGTTGGCATTAACATGCTGTCACCACTGCAGGTTGCTGCGCCAAGGCCTGGCTGGCCGTGCTGTGCCAGAGCTTCTGTAGCGCTGCTGCTAGTCTGGTAACCTCTGCTTAACTAACTACCACTGTATCATGACCTGCCACATCCATTACATCAGGCACCACCTAAAAGCGGGGAGAGTGTTGCACCAGAATGCATATGTATGTGACGTGGCTGTGTGCCCACCGATGCCTCCTACATTAGAGAGGGGGCAGAGTAAGACAGCATATGGATGATGTATGAATATATATTTTTCTATAAATGTCTTTGCTTTTTAAGTTACACATATTCAGCTGCACACATTTGTTCTCTAGTTCCGGTCTAGTGACTTTATTAATACATTTATGGGAGAATGTGATGTAACCATGAAAGGCTGTAGGTCGAGGGCATCATAAACCGAGGACCCCCCTGTGACGTGTTTTTCTGCCTCCACCACAGCGGGCGGTGGATTCTGACCGTATGCTCTGGCCCTGGAAATAGATGGTCAACATGGAAAAGAGAGCAGACATGAGACACACTATAAAACAGGAATAATTGAGTAAAAAGGCGTAGGTGAACTGGCAGAGCTGGATGTGACTTGTAGTGTGGTGAGTAAGATGATACGCTGTGGGAACTATGACGGCGCTGGCAGCGGTGCGCCTGCTCAGAGCTGCCAGTCAGAGTAAAGAGGCCACAGGGAGTAAGTTGAACAGCAGAGGAAAATAGGTGTTTGTTAAAATGGTCCAGAGAATTTAACTGTTAATAATTATTAGTTTCAGGGTTTTTGTCCTATTTTTGTTTTCATTTCAGTTGTCCAAAGTCTAGAGTCAATAAATTCCATTCTGTTTCCTGATATTAACGTCTTCTATCTCAGCGGTTTTCAACCTTTTTCAGCTTATAAAATCCATTTTGACTTTTTTGGGGTTTTTTTTTTGTTTTTTTCTATAATTCGTTTTTGATCATGTGTCCAGGTTAGGGTAAAAACTGACATTTATTTTTCTGGCCCAGCTC